CCGAGAGCCCAGCGGCAGCGCGCCCGCGCTGAGCAGCCTGTCTGCCGAAGGTGGTGGCAGCGCAGGGGGTGGGGGGGCTGGCGTGGCCGGTGGGCCAGAGCTCCTGGACACCTACGTGGCCTACTTGGACGGTCAGGCCTTCGGGGGAAGCAGTACTCCTGGCCCGCCATACCCTCCGCAGCTCATGACTCCCTCCAAGCTCCGGGGCAGGGCTCTGGGGACAAGCGGGGGCCTGCGGCCTGGCCCCAGTGGGGGACTTCGGGACCCTGTCACCCCCACCAGCCCCACCGTCTCAGTGACAGGGGCCGGAGCCGATGGGCTGCTGGCCTCCTCTGGACCCTCGACAGCAGGTGTGGCTGGGGCTCCCGTGGCCGTGGCCGTAGAACCGGAAGTGCCAGCGGTACCCTTGCCGTCGGCTTCCTCCCTGCCCAGGAAGCTGCTGCCCTGGGAGGAAGGCCCAGGCCCACCGCCACCACCCCTGCCTGGGCCCCTGGCCCAGCCTCAGGCCTCAGCCTTGGCCACAGTGAAAGCCAGCATCATCAGCGAGCTCAGCTCCAAGCTTCAGCAGTTCGGGGGCTCCTCAGCGGCCGGAGGCGCTCTGCCCTGGGCCCGGGGAGGCAGCGGGGGCAGCGCGGACAGCCACCACGGGGGAGCCAGCTACGTCCCTGAGAGGACCTCCTCCCTGCAGCGCCAGAGGTGAGCAGGGGCTCGCGATGAGGCCAGGGGGCTGATGTGGATGGCCGAGCGCCCTCCCCTGCCACTGGGTCCCTTTAGGGTGTGGGGGGTGTTGCAGAAAGACACAGAAACCAGACTCCCCCGCAGGAAATGCCCTCAGAGAAGCGTGGTCCCAGGTGCTTCTGTGGAGGACAGCCACATCCCACAACGAAGTCACTGGCAGGCAGCTGAGCCACCCTTGCCGACGGCTCCTGGAGGGTGGCTGCTGGTCCTGGTCCGTTCTGATAGTCCCTGCTAGCGAGTCCCTTGAACTCAGTGTGGTTCCAGACACACTTGAGGATATGGTAGGGACAGGTGTGGTTCTGGAGCCCACCTGTGATTAACTTATTTTTAGTCTTTGCTATAAGGTGCATGTACTCACCAGAGAGAGAGAGAGAGAGACATGAGATATCACCCCGGGGGGTGGCCACGCTAAAATCCCTTCCCCTCCATCCTCCTCTCAGGATTTCGGGCATGCACGCACACGCGCCTGACGTGGTTTTCACACGGCAGGGTCCAGGACTCAAACCGCAGAGTCGGCCATGTGGGACCCAGCTGCCTTAACTGCACACCTGGCCTTAACCTCCTACTGGCCCCAGAGCCCACCGTGTGGGGTTCCAGTCCCCGCCCTGAACTTTCCGGCTATGTGATGTCAGGCAAAGAAACTGCAGGAGGGCAGCCAGTGTCCACCTAAAAGAACCTCTGCGAGGACTGGATGTGGCCAGTCGTTCTAGCTGAGATGGGCTGGCGGGGGGTCTCTCGGAACCCAGTAGGGTCTAGGTGGGGACAGATGGATGGTGCAGGAATTTCCCAAAGCAGTTCAGCACATTCCTCCCAGCTTGGGAAAGGAGGGCGCCCTTCCCGACTCAGACGCACAGAGACAGATCTCAGCTCACTCCCCATCCCAGGGGTCAAACAATGGGTGTGAGTGTATCAGGCCTCCGAGACCTGAACGGAATTCATCCATAACACCTAAGGACTCTGGGAGAGGAGAGGCTGCTTCCTGTAGTCACAAATGTGTCACTTACTGACCTGTCACTCCTGGGTGAGGGGGCGCCACAGGCCAGCACCCCCCACAGCTCATTGCCGGGACCGGGACCGGGTGGGGGGACAGGTGAGAAACCAAAGCATCACAGGCATTCTAGAAAAAGATGCCCCCGTGGGCCGGGCAGGCTGAACAGAGGGCAGAGGAGAGACAGCAAGTCTCAGGGCCACCCTGGCCACCCGGGACCAGAGGGGACAGCCAGTTCCAAGGCCCTGAGGCGGGACTGCACTGGAGGGCACCAAAGGGATGAGGGGAACCTTTTTCTCCCCTTGTTTCTTCTCTCTTTCATCTCCCTCTCTTCATCTCTCTCTCTCTCTCTCTGTCCCTGACCCCTTCCATCTCTCTCCCCTGGATGCTCACCCTCTTTTCGTTCCTCTCCCACTGTCGCCCTGTCTTCCACTCTGCTACGGCTGGCTCACAGCTCGAAAGGCAGTGCAGAGTAGTGGTGAAGAGCCTAGACTTTGGTGCCATATGACCAGGCTCTGCCACTTCCTGGCTGTGTGTCCTTAGGCAAGTTCCTTAACTTCTCTGTGCTGATAATAACAGTAACCTGCACCGGGGCTGTCGGGGGTTAATCGGAGATGCGCTCCGTAAAGCACTTAGAGCAACGCCTGGCACACGTGAGCATCAGTAAGTGGTGGCGATTATTATTTTACTATCACTTAATGTCTCTTTTTCTTTCATCTCTCTTGACTGTCGCCCTCTCCCCACCTCTCATCTCACTCTCCCTCATTTCTGTCCTGACATCCATCTTCCCTCCCTCCTCCCATCTCTTCCCACGTCTCTCCATCTCTCCACCTGCCCTCATGTCTCTTTTCCTCTCTCCCTGTATCTCCACCTCTGCCTCTTTCTCACCCGCCTTGGCCCTTAAACCCCTCTGGTCCGCCCCCACCCCGCCCCTTATCACATTCCAGACTCTCCGATGACTCCCAGTCCTCGCTCCTCTCCAAACCCGTCAGCAGCCTGTTTCAGAACTGGCCCAAACCAGCTCTCCACAGGCCCCGGGGTCCCCCCCTCTGCCGCCGCAGCCCCAGGGGCCACCTCGCCCTCAGCCTCCTCCTCCTCCACGTCCACCCGCCACCTCCAGGGTGTGGAGTTTGAGATGCGGCCCCCACTGCTCCGCCGGGCCCCCAGCCCCTCGCTGCTGCCCGCCTCGGAGCACAAGGTCAGCCCTGCGCCCCGGCCCTCGTCCCTGCCCATCCTGCCTTCTGGACCCCTCTACCCAGGACTCTTTGACATCCGCAGCTCTCCCACTGGAGGGGCAGGAGGCGCGGCTGACCCCTTCGCCCCGGTCTTTGTGCCGCCACACCCGGGGATGTCCGGGGGGCTTGGAGGAGCCTTGTCTGGGGCCTCCCGCTCCCTCTCACCAACCCGCCTGCTTTCGCTGCCCCCGGACAAGCCGTTTGGCGCAAAACCTCTGGGGTTCTGGACCAAGTTCGACGTGGCCGACTGGCTAGAGTGGCTGGGCTTGGCTGAGCACCGAGCCCAGTTCCTGGACCACGAGATCGATGGCTCCCACCTGCCCGCCTTGACCAAGGAGGACTACGTCGACCTGGGGGTGACCAGGGTGGGGCACCGCATGAACATCGACCGGGCTCTCAAATTTTTCCTGGAGAGGTGATGGCTGGCCTGGGCGGACCAGCCCGTCCACAGGACCCCGGGCCTGCTGGCCTTTTGACCTCGGACCCCTGACTGTCATTCTCTCCCTGGGCCAGGGACTCTGCTAAAACTGCGCCCTGCCCTGACCCCAAGGCCGGAGGGCACCAGGTGGCCCCATCCAGGCCGGACACTCGCACCTCACAGGAGGGGGCAGCTGACAGACTGTGTGTGTGTGAAGCGGGGAGCGGAGGGGGGATGGAAGAGACCCAGAGGGGGGACTGAGAAGGAGGGAAGGGGCAGTTCTGGGGGAGGGGGACAGACAGAGCCATAGAGGGTCAGCCCTGAGCCTGACTGGATGGGGGCCGTCCCCAGGCCACAGGGGAAGGGGCGCCCTCAGACTCTACCACCTGCCACCCCCCACCACCCC